CCAGTTCTTTTAAATATTAACTACTCACTACCTCTCTCTTTGGATTAGGACTCAAACAGGAATTTTTAAAGATACTCATTTTTTTTTTTTTTTTTGGTGAGGAAGATCAGCCCTGAGCTAACATCTGTCGCCAATCCTCTTTTTGCTGAGGAAGACTGGCCCTGAGCTAACATCTGTGCCCATCTTCCTCTACTTTGTATATGGGATGCCGCCACAGCATGACTTGACAAGCGGTGCATCAGCCTGTGCCCAGGATCCGAACCTGAGAACCCTGGGCTGCCAAAGCGGAGCGCACGAACTTGACCACTACACCACCGGGCCGGCCCCCCGAGCAGGGATTCTGAGTGGAAATGGGGTGCAGCTCAGAGCTGGCAGATGACGGGGCCACTTCCTCACCAGGCAGAAGACAAGCTCTGGCACAAGAGAAGCAAAGACGAGGCAAGGAGAGAGGCTCTGGGGCTCCGTGCTCAGGCTCCGGGCCACCCCGAGGCTCCGCACTGCCCTTCCCACTGGCTCCCTGAGCCCTCGGCCCTGTTGAACGTCTGTCAGGTGTGACCAGGAACGCGGACTAGCACAGAGTGACTCAGGGCAGCAAGGGCTCGGAGTGAGTGATCGGGGGGGCGTGGGGGTGTTCTCTCAACTGGGAAGTGGGGACACAGCCGCGAACCCCTGCCCCTCAGAGCACAATTGTGTGCAAAACAGAAAAGCTCCTTTCCCAAGACACTTTATTTCCACCTGTCGTAAAGTGGTTTTAACACACACTGTCAGAATGCGATGTTTTACCGCCATCGCTGGAATTCTACAAATCCACCAGGAGAATGGTGCGGCCCTAGAGGTGGTGCTCTTGTGCAGTGCCCAGGCTGCACAGCTGTGCACGCACCTCAGCCTGGGAGTGGCCCAAACCACAGTACTTTCCAGTGGGGGCTGCCCCTCAAATACAGGTCATCACACACAACTAGAGGCCACCTGCTGCCTTCATCCAGGCCCCACCCCTTCCCCACGCCTCTGGTAACGTTAACTCACGTGTCCTGGGGGAACCACCTCTCCCCTGGCTCTGGGTCTTAGAGGTTCAGACAGGGCTGACCCCACTCTCCAGCCCAGGGTGGGGCACAAGACTCAGGCCTGACCAATCCCAGCAGTCCATCTCCCAGGCTCCCATTGGTCAGACATGGGCATGTGACCCCAACTAGGCCAATGAGAGACAATTCTAGGCCTTGAGCTGGAGATAATGAGAAAGAGATGTTCTCTAGCTGCCGAGTTGTGACCTAAACTTAGAACTATGGGAGCATCTTTGTCACCAAGATGGGAAAAGCCCCTGAGAACGAAGACAGCAGAGCTGAGACAGGGGGCACTCAGTCATGATGACAGTGCTCGAGCTCCTTGATCCAGCTGTGCCTGAAACTGGCTATCTCTGGACTTTATAGATTGTATACAGCCAATAAATCTTTCTTCTAGCTGGGTTGTCTGTATTTTGCAACTGGAAAGCTCCTGCTCTAACATAAGACGCACACAAAGGAAACACCCACAGCCACACTTCCCAGCACCAGACCCATGAAAGAACCTGAACAAAAGAGGGTCCTGAGTCAGGCTTGGGAAATGCTGCAAACTAGATGCTCCTCTTGGGGACGCCTGCTGCAAATAAGCTTTATTAAGACTCCGCAAAGTCCCACCAGAAAGAAACGAGTTTAACTTTAACTCAGAGTTTCCCAAGTACCTTTGACTGCAAACCAAAAAAATGTTTCTGAAAATGTATTAACAATTCCCCGAGTGGGCTCTCTGAGAAACGCACTGGGGAAACGCTGACCCAGATAGAGAATTAAACAAAACTTGTGTGGTGCCGTTCCAGTCCCGGGCTCTACCTTCCGTGCGGCTCCTGTCCGTCCCCGGATCCGTTGTCAGAAGTGCCTCTGTTCCCGTCAGTCGCTGCGTCTGGGTCTCCTTCTCCGACTTGTTCGGGGTTGTTTCTACTGGGGTAAGAAGAGCAAGGCGGGGCGAGCGAGAAACGAGTGAGTCAGGGACAGCGGATCCATAGGACAGCCAGGGGCCCTCTCCGCCTTCAGGCTGGCGAAAATCAGAGACGTTCATGCACCAAGCGTGGCTGGGCTGGGACGGGGGCCTCTGTCACACACGGCTGGTGGAGGGCAGATCGGAGTGGCCACTTCCCAAGTGGCTTCTACAACAAATTTCAGTGTTGGTGCCCTTTGCCTCAGTGTATGTGGGCACGAGCAGGGCCCCAGAGCCAGATTCCTGGACCCCAATCCCAGCTGTGTCACCGACTTGCTGTGACGCTCTGAGCCAGTTACTCTGAGCCTCCACGTCCTCATCTGTAAAGCGGCGATAATGGTCGTTTCTACCTCCAAGGGTCTGGGCGAGGACTGAGTGAGTGAACACGGGTAAGATATTTAGAACTTATTTAGAATAAGTGCTTCTAGGGTTTGCTCAAAGAGGAGGGAACAGGGTTGCTCATTGTGGTGCTGTGTGTAGCAGAGAAAACTGGAAGCGACCAAGATGCTCATCATCATCTGTGCACAGGCACACTGTGGAATACCATGCAGCAGTGAAAAAGAGCAAGATCGGTGTCTACACAGGAATGTGGGAAGAGCTTCCAGACTATTATTGCAGGGGGGAGAAAAGCAAGTTGCAGAAGAACTATCATATAATATCCCTGAGCTCACACAAACACACCTCCCAAGCAGTACATCTTCTCCAGGAAACACACACATGACACAGGGTCACTGGGGGACTGCTGCGATGCAGGGCTAACAGTGGGGCCTCTCAGAGACGGGAGAGAGAGCAAGGGCGGGCAATGGACAAAAGGATTACGTCTCTTCTATGATATTCTTATTATTTCCAAGGAGAATGTGTTTACGTACCACTGTATCATTAAATATTAATGGAAAAATTGGGGGGCATTTTTTGAAGTACGTTATACTCCAGAAAAAGTTCAATAATAATTTGAAAATTCAAAAAAGGAAAAGGATAAAGAGATTAAAGGAAGAAACGAACAGGGTTGGCACGCGGGGAGTTTCCGGAGAGTCTGCAAAGCTCTATTCCTTGACCTGGGTGGTGGTTACACAGGGTTCAATTTAGAGTAATTTGTTAAGATGCACATGTATGTACATCTTTCCTATATGCATGTTATTTTTTCACGACGTCAAAAGGTTTCTTTTTAAAGAAGTGAATGGAGTTGGCTGGCTGTCCCCCCACAAAGTGAACCCGTGGGGCTGGAATGGGTGAGCAAGGACGTAGAGCGTCAGAGGAAGGGAAGGAGCAGTGTCTGTCCCAGGCCCACCTCCCCACCCCCCACCCCTGCCCCACTCACCAGCAGCCGGCAGGGCTGAGGTCTGAGGCGTGGGCTGCAGGTCCGGGTGGACTGTGTCTGGAGTCCGGAAACGGGGAGAGAAGAGAGGGAAGATGTGGGAAGGTCCGTGGATGGAGAAGCAGAGGGTTTTCCACAGCAACTCAATTTTGGTGTCATGGAAATGATGTCATTAATCCAGCCATTTCGCTGACTGCCCAAATGTGATGCCAGCATCTTCCCCGCCTCAGGCCCTCCCCTCCCACAGACGTCCACCCCCTGCTCAGCATCCTCCCGCCTCTGGTAAGAGGCTCCCTTTGGGGAACCACCTTTCCCCGAAATTTGTTCCACTTTCACCAGTGGGCCTGGCACCAGCCCTGTTGGGGGTTGAACATGAGACCCAGGTCTGGCCAGTCAGCTTTTTGCGCCTGTGGCCACAATGATTAGCTCACGGGCGGGCATGTGACCGAGCCAGGTCAATGACACTCAGTTCTGGGAAATTTGCTGGATTGGGGAAGGGAAAATTCTCTTTCCTCTGGATTCTTAGCAGGTAGGATGGAAGCCCCAGGTCTCTAGGGGCCATCTTGGCCCCATAAGAGGAGAATCTACCTGAGAATGAAGCCAACGCTGAGAAAACAGATCCAAGAGATGGAGACAGGTTTCTGATAGCCTCGTTTGAGCACCTAGATCAAGCCATGCCTGAAGATCTATCCCTGGGCTTTTCAGTTACACAAATCCAAAAATTCCTTTTGGCCCAAGGTTGAGATTTTTGTTGCTGTTGTTATTTGCAAGGACAGGATCTTGACAGACCTGGCCCTCTCTCCTCACCTGGGGTTTGAGTCAAGGTATGAACAGTCACAGCAGTTGGGTCTGCTACAGAAGTGGATGTGGCCTCCGTCGATGTCTGCCCTGGGAAGTCAAGGATGAGAAGTCAGGGAGGAGCCTCTGGTCCCCCTTCTCTCACCAACATCCCACCCCCTACCCTCCCTTCCAAAAGCCTGGGGGGTAACTCAGGATGTCCTGTCTGCTGGGAAAAGCAGACAGATGTTTGATTGATCAGCTTTGGCAGTATCAATCCATGATCCTGGAAGTGTTTTAAGAAATGCTAACACCCTGGCACCCTTCCTCCAGCCGCCTCTCCCTGCCCACGCTGTGGACACTTAAGTCAGCCAGGGCCCTGATCTCAACTTCTGCTCCCAACAACTTCCTTGCTGTGTGACCTGGAGCAAGTGAAGGTTCCTCTCTGAGCCTCAGCTGCCTCATCTGCAAAGTGGGCATAATAGTTGAATCTACTTCCCATGGCCGTAGAGAGAGTGAAGTGAGATGGAGGGGGGAAGGGTCTCCGCCACTGCTTAACATGCAGTCAGCGTTGGATACAGCCACTGACCCACCGTGGCCCAGCCTCCAGCCTCCAGCCTCTGCCTCCTGGACCATCACAGCAGCCTCCTCCCTGTCTCCCTGCTCCCGTCCCCACCCCCTGCAGTCCGCTCCGTCCACGCGGCCAGAAGGAGCCTGTGAACCCGAGTCAGGTCGGGGCCCCCCTGGCTCAGAGCCCCCTCTGGCTCCACCTTGCTCCTGGTAAAAGCCAAAGTCCTCACTCGGCCCCTAAGTGCCTCCTCCATCGGGTTCCCTGTCCCCTCTCTGACCTCCTCTCTTCCCACCCTCTTCACCCCCACCAGCCACCCGGCCTGCTGTTCTCACGCTCACCAGACAGCCCTGACCCAGACGCCTGCTCGGCTCATTCTCTCCTCTCCTTCTGGTGTCTGCCCAAGTGTCACCTCCTCGGGCGTCACCCCGACCACCCTATTTAAACAACCTCATCGCTCGCCTCGAGTTTTCTCTATTCGCTCATCACCTCCTGGCATCCTATATAATTTACCAGGGGATTGTTTACTGTCTGTCTCCCAGCTAGAACGTGGGCTCCTGTTCTATTCACTGCTGTTTCCCCAGCGCAGAGAGTGAGGTCTGGCACAGAGCAGCTGCTCACTGAAGCCCTGGAGAACGACTGGAGGGATATGTGAACATCATTCTATCAGACAGAAGCAGGGCAGCTTCAGCGGAGCAGGAGCCCAGGGGCAGGCGGGATGGTTGTTACCCCAGCCCCTCCCCTCACTCGCCTGTGGCTCAGGGCACTTCCCTTTGCTGAGTCTCAGGTTTCTTATCTGTAAAATGGGTGTGACAATATGTATAATAGAGTAGAGCTGGCCCGCAGAGCACCTGCCACGGAGAAGGCACCTGCCATGCTCCACAGGTCCTGCCTTCAGGAAGCACATCCCAGGCACGGAGATGTCTCCAGCTCTCGGACAGGCCCCAGCTCAGCCCCTCTGCCTAATCGCGTGTCACCTGGCGAGCCAGGGAGCTGCTTTGCGGGGAGCCCAGCGTTCCTGGCTGCCCAGTAGAACACCGACACCGATCTCCCCGCCAAATCAAATTGGGTGAGTTCTTCTTGGCAGTGAAACGGAGGATGCTCAGCAGGACTGGCCCTGGCCAGACTCGCTGGAAGCAGCCACCCAGGTCTGAAGTGTCCAAAGAGGGTGTAAGCCCGGCTCCCTCATGGGGACCCCCACTTTCTGGTGCCAGCTCAACAGGGGGGGTGAGGATACAGGTCAGAGCATCCAGACTCACCAGCCACCCTCAAGGAGGGGGCTGCAGGCTCTGGGGCAGGTGGAGACAAGGGCTGGGCCTTACCTCTGGTGGGGAGAATCAGGCTGACGATGGTGAGGAAACACAGGCGACCAGAGGGCGACATCTACGGGGCAAGCGGAGGGGCGGTCAGCCGTGCAGTCAGAGGGGTAGGCCCAGACAGCCCCCAGGGATCCTGCAGCCCCCATCCCTACCCTGAGCAGGCTCCTCTGGCTTCAAGAACCCCACCAGGGCTGACAGCTGGCTGTGAGGGCAGATCTCTGAAGTGGGGGTCCCCAGCCACCACCACCTTCTTCCCTCTGCAGGTCCCCAGAGAAAACAAGCATGAGAGCAAACAGCTTCCAGCAGCAGCCACCCAGGGCCACCCTACTCCTCAGCGCTTATCCCGGGGACCGACCACACAGGGGCCGGGAGGGGTCTGGGGCACAGGAGTAGATCGGGGGCCTCGCCCCTCCCTCTGGGGCTGTCCCGACAGCGAGCAGTCAGCAAGGAGGGGAAAGAGGAAGAGTGAGTAATGTGCTCCTGATCGCAGAGGAAAAAGTGAGTCGGTGTGAGGGGCCTCGCTGCAGGGACAACAGAACAGGATACTGGGCAGATCTGGGAGGCACTGGTCGCAGAGGGCAGGAGGAGAGCTGGGGAGACTGAGGCAGGAGGGAGAGTGCAGCCCAGGGTGGCACCGACGAGCGGGCGGGGAGAAGCGAGGATGAATGGGGGGCGAAGGGCACCCAGAAGCTGCGCCCTCGACCCACCTGCGCCCGGCCGGGCGGAGGGGAGGCGGAGGGAGGGGACGGAGCAGAGACTCACGTCAGAGCCGGGGTCCCGGGCCGCAGCCTCGTGGAGAGAGGGCAGCGAGGTGGCTGCGTCCAGGCGGAGGGTGTGGCCAGGGGAGCGCGGCGGGCGGGGACCAAGACAGGCTCAGTCATTTCCTCTTGGGTTTCCTGGCTTCAGAGCCGGGGTGGGAGCAGGAGTGGCAGACGCCGAGGGCGATGGGGGGACGGGGGGAGAGGCGGGGCGGCGGCGTCCACCCACGCGGCCTGGGGGAGGTGGGCGTGGGGAGCTGGGCCCGGAGGTCCGGGCTGGGTGGGGCTCCTTGGGCGGCGGGCGGGGGGAGGAAGGGGAGGGGTCCACTCCGGGGTCGCTGGAGGAAGAGAAGGGAAGGGACCGTGGGGAGGGGCGCGTTGAGGGAGGAGAGGGAAACTCGAGGGGCTCCGAGAGAGGGGGGAGGGGAAGGAGAAGGGGGGCGACTCTGGGGACGCGGAGAGAGCTCCCCAGGTCCAGCTCTGCCCCTCCCCCACTTGTCCCCACAGATGAGAGCACACAGACAGAACAGGGGAAAAAACCGAATGCCCATTTATTAAGCTCAAGACGTGGACACCGAGGGTGCAGGGGACTGGATCTTCGGAGAGGAGACAAGGAGGAGCAGGGGAGCAGGACAGGGGGGTTCGGGGGGCTGGGGGGGGACTCCTGGACCCCGGGAGCTGGAGGCCTGAGTCCCTGGATCTGGGATGCAGACGGGCTCTTGGGGAATCGTCGTTGCCAAGGCCTGGGGACGGGCAGCGGGGTGCAGCGGCTCCAGCCTCGGGGTGGGGGAGGCGGCTCATTCGGGGGAGCGCTCCCTGGCGCAGGGCTGGGGTCCCCACCGCCTCCACCCGGCCCTCAGGCTGCCGCGCTCAGCCAGGGACAGCAGTGGAGGAGCCCGGGGGCGGTTTTACACGCCGCCACCTCCAGGGGCTGGGGTGAGAGAGAGAGAACCAGGGAGCCTGGGTCAGCTACCGGAGGGGTGGAAGCAGCCCCCCCCCACAGCCGGTGGGCCCTCCACCCTCCAGGGAAGCCAGGCCCCCAGGGACAGTCATCCTTGAGCTAGCACTGGGGAGGTCTCTAGCCTCCCCACAGCCTAATGTCTGGTCCGTGTAGCGAACCCGTGTGGCTGTTGTCCTGCCCCGCAGGACACTGGCATGGAGGGGAACAACCTGTGAGGAGGCTGAAGACCCGGGCCCAGCTTGGCCTTTTCTGGGGCGGCCCCCTGACAGAAAGCGAGTCTCCATCCCCCTCCTAGGCCCCTAATGTCCGCCTACACCCCACTCCTTTCCAACACCCTGTCTCCTGAACATTTAGATACAACAGGAATTCTCCTGTTTCCCGCCCACTCGGGACCATCACTCCACGGGGTCAGAGTCCTGTTCACATTCTTAAACTGTGCCCCAGGTGCCAGGGCCAACCCCCCCCCCCATCATCTACAAAGTGACCCATTAATGTTTTTAAATCTGATTAAAAGAACATAAAACAAAACACATGAAATTCCACACCCAGTTCCCCAAATACTGAGTACCCCAAGGCCCATTCTTTTAGTTATGAGATCTTTATAAGAGGCAGAGAGACTCCCATCTCTGATTTTTCAGAAGTGCCTGGAAAGGACGCAGTTCCACTAGAAACAGGTCGAGATATTTTTACATAATTAAAATTTACACCCCCAGGGAGTCACAATCTTTCAGCTACATGCTTATCCCTTCCTCCATCCTCCATCTCTCTCCATCTTCCCTCACACCTTCACGCGCCTCACCCACTCTCCCCTCCTACACCCTCCCCCCCTCTAC